TAGTTTGGTATTTTACTTCTCCCAAAAGAGCACAGAGCAGAAAGAGGAACATGTTATGAGTCCCAGAGGTTATCTGTGAACTGTGTTTAAGTCGTATTCATGAACAAATAATATCCATGAGTGGGTCAACGAAGACATTATTACACTGCGTGAGTTCTTAAACGATTTAGTTCTCATTTACATATGCATAACACCTAGGAGTAAAAGTTCTGAAACTAATGAAGTTGTACTGTGTGATATCGGTGCAAGTGAAATCAGAAGATAAATTACTGACCTTGTAGAAGCAGCACTACCAAAGATGACTCAGAAAGGCAATAAGGAGCTGCAGAGAAGACTGAAAAGGAAACGATTGTGTAGCCCAAGTCTTAGCTATTGATGATAAATCAGTGCCGTGGAATGTGAATTGCTATGTTCCTCAAGAAGCAACTGAGTCTCTCAGAAAAATATATTTTATTCCTGATCTTTCAAGAGCTGCTCTCAATGCTACATCTAAATCAGACTCTTTTTCTAGCTACTCTTCATTCAAAATAAAAACAGGATGGAAAAAAAATGTATTTTCTGCTTCTTTAGAGTGTAGCAGAATCTGTTAGTTCCTTTTCACTTTTACTGCTTCTAATGTTTCACAGCAAAGGCAAACCTCTAAACTCCAATTCCAATGTACTTACATCTGTTTTGCTCTTTTAAATATGTTTTTTTTCATTACATACCATTCATTAACGACAGAATGCTTCTTTACTTGGACAGGAAAGATTTAAAGGAATGGACAAGACTACAAAGCACATAAATTAACGCTTTTTTCCTAGAAATAGTTTTTCTTAGACATAGGCAGCAGAACACATTGATGAAAAACAATATATAAAATAAATAATCTGATTTTCTATCTTATTACAAATCTAGCCTCAAGACTTGCATAAAGATTGCACAACTGAGAGACTCAGTACAATTCATTTTAACAGAAGTACTGCCTGGAACAGAAAAAAACCCTCTTTCCTCCAGCTATGCTGCCCACAAAGGGAGATTGAACAGAACACCAGGAGAAAATGGTGCCACTGGGACACAGGTTGATGATTTTCACTGCAATTCACATTTTGGAAAGCTATATAGTGAAATGGTGGCAGTAACAGCTATACTTGAAGCTAATCAAGTGAATTCAGTAGTTTTCTTCTTTGCTTGCTTTACAAATGTTTCCTAATGCACAAGAAGCAAACCCTTATTAACGAATTCTATGGGACACAGAACAGAGGGAAAGTAATTGAAAAACAGTAATATCTCAAAAAAGTAAAGCAGAACAGGCCTATTAAAAAGGACTTTTTTTTTTTTTTCAGAGCCACAGGTTTAAATAGTCAAAAAGCAACCCCAACATCGAAGCTGTCTTTTATACTCTGCAGTCGAACCTGAGAAGTGTCACTGGAGGCTTTTTAGTGAAACATCACAATGTACTGGGAAAAGACAAGCAGGTTTTTGTGGCAAATTCATACTTAGCCTGTTTCACTTCTTTTCCCTATGTTCTAACTGAGTTTAATGGTTTACTGGCACTTGTTATTCAGGATTTATACCAAAGAAATTCAAGGTGCCCTGGGTTTATAGACCTTGACATCACTTTCTGTTCATAGTTATTGATATAATCAAGAAATGAAACAATACTAGAAAGACCAAGGTTACGGACAAGAACTGCAGCCATAAACTGCAAGGTATGGCCTTGAACACTGTGTGTGCCTGTCTCTGAAAGAGAAAAGGACATTGGGAATAAACTCCCTCCTTTTCAGCTTTCTCTTATTATTTTTTTCTTTCATTTCCACCAATACATAGTCATTCTTAGACGATGAAATGAGAACAGATTGGGGTTTTTTGATTCCTCTCATAACTTGTGCATTTAACTTCAAATTTAACTCTAATTGCCCTGTGTTTCAAACAATGTTAAGCTACACAGACTTGCAACATCTCACTTATCTTCTCCTAAGGAAATACGTCAGAGTGCATTGTACTACATGAATATTCAAAAGAATGACAACTTAACTTTGACTTTTTTTAAATGTCCCCTTTTACTGGAAAAATTCACACTTTTTTGTTCCAGGAAAAAGCATTTTTCACATTAAACCCCATCTTACGTCTTCCCTTTAACATACATTTATCAGTACATTACCATTCACAACAGTGGAATGCAGACTTATACATCCTTACCTGAGAGAAAAATGATACAGTAAATTTTAGATATTTTTCGATATTTATGAAAAACAGCTGCAAATCTGAATGATTAAGAAATAATGTGCTTCACCATCTGTCATTCAAGTGACTTGTTATTTCACAAATTAAATCAAACACTAATGGCCATCTAAAATCATCTTTTGCTTGACATCTAGTGTAACTATTTGCTTCAGAAATTTCTGCTTTCAGGATGATGATGACAATATTTAATCATGGATTTCCAGACAGAAATAGCAACACGAAAATCTTACACTAATCTCACTGTTTTTAAAGATGAGTGTTTTGTTTTAAACAAAACTGTAATCTTGCAGGAAAAGATGTGATCTTCTGTGGGTGATTTGGTATTTTGCATTTCAAAACTTAAGAAAAAGTTAAAATATTTAAAACTAAAATCAAATTACCTAAAATTGTGAGCAAAAAAATATGGATTTTCCTTGTAGCGTAAAAAGTTATTTTGGGATTTCTGGTTCCTTGAAGAAAACCTGAAATACTACATTTAGTAGTAATTTAACACAAAACTTCATTCATTTGGGGTTAATTTTTGCAGCAGTTGAAATCAAAATGCAATTTTTTGTGCAGGTTGTGAAGGTTATTAGCTTTAGGAGACCTTTAAGTTACTCTTGAAGTACTGCTTGCCTTGCCCTTCAATATAACATGGAAAACTAGCCAATAAGAATTTGGATGTTAGAAAAAAGACAACCAACCTTCTTTTGGAAAATGTTGTTAACACAACTGAGTATGCCAAACTGGCAACCTACACGCTTACTGTGATTTCTAACCTCTCTGGGGCATGAGTGACACAGTGTTCAACAGGATTAAGCTACATTATTTGCTGGGAAGCTCTACTGTTTTGGTTCTCAAGCACTGCACAGACGAAATGTTCAGTGTAAACACAGATTCCCCTGTCTATACTTTGAAAATTTGGAGACAAAAATCCTTTCATTTAGTACCTATGATATTCCAATTATGAATAATTCTAGGAATAATTTTACATGGACAGCTGGTACTGCTAGATTTGCTAATTAAATAACAAGGTAAGTCATTAGGCTCTCAAGTGTTCTGGAATTATTGAAGTCTTGGACAATGTTGAGGCAATACTTATCATTCCTGGCATATCTGTAAAAACAGCAACCAGCAAAGTGCACTTATAAATCGATGGATGCAGAAGTTAAGTATTGTAGCAAAACTATAGAGTTAAGTCTTCTACCTGTAAAATGTGTGCAAGGCACAAGTGTAAATCCACAGCAGAAGAATAGTGGAAGTTATGTCCAAACCAGTGAAAAAGAGATGTCGTTTAATGATAGACTGTGATTTGACAACATATTTTTATGGTTTCATTTTAATACATGGTTTAGTCCAGAAATATCTGTTCATATACAGTCACAACCTTTTCCCTGACCACAAAAAATTGCTTATACAGTCCCATAAACTTCTATTTATGCCTACATATAGACACACAGATGTACACTTACCAAAGGTGAAAGTGACACTATGTTTTAGTGTGTTGTCTTCTTTTATAATAATACCAATCTTTCTTCTGCAATGATTTCCAGTTAACTGATGAAAAGTGCTTTAGAAGAACCGAATATTAAAAATGTTGTATGTGGGGTCAGATGTCCCTTTTGTACATGGTAGCAACGATCAATAGATATATTAGCAATAATAAGTATTCCCATAAGCAAAATCTTGTACAGTACAGTCCCAGCCAACAGGAAAGATGTTAACTGGGACCAGATATTAAATGAAAAATTGCTTTATTTTTCTTATAGGAAGGTGTAATATGAGTTAAGGAGGGTACCATAACATTTATATGTAAAATGATGTAATTATGTCAGTTGAAATGTTATAAAAAAATTAACCAAAGATATGTAAGTATGGGAAATTTTAGCTCTTTGGTTTTTTCCCTCTGGTAAAACTAGAAACAGTAGGAAACGGCATTTTTTACAGAGAAAATAAAGAAACTGTTCATAGAGATCCCTGTTATTCCTCAGTATTCACAATAAAAATGAACAAAAGACCTCCCAGCACAGATCCAGCATGTCTGGTTTCATTTTAGCCACAAAAAGAAAACCCCTGGTGTAAATGTGTGACATACTGTGCTGAAAATGGTAGCTGGGCTAGTACTTGACACAGCTGAAGAGGGAAAGACAGGAGTGAAAATTTTACATGACTTGTAAGTTTTCTTCATGTGTTTCCTGCACAAAGCAGAGCTTGTCTTCATTTGTGCTTAATGGAAACTATGGTAGCTAACAGATGTTATGATGACTGCAGAAAACAACAAATTAGGATCACCAGCCAAGGGAATTGTTAGCATCTGAAATTAGACAGGATACTGCAGTTGCTCATTTCCTACAACCTAGTGTTACTCAAATCATATCTAATAATTGGGGACAAGAAATATACTTGCTGACCACAGCAGCAAAAGACATCAGGGTCAATAAAGGCCAAAACAAGGTGTCCAAATAAAACACCCTGTAAACTTATTCCGTGATGAGATGTACAGAAAGAAAGTGATATTTTAGATAGCCAAATATAGGTAGCAAATATATTACTTGTAAGAATCAATACAAAGAAAATTAGAGAAGATGTTCACGTTATTTTTCTTAGGAAAAAGAGGATCTCCAGCCAAGAAAAAAATAATTAAGAGAGTCAGATTAAAAGGGAAATCATATAAAAACATATTCATCTTTTCTTTGACTAACTCTAATAATCAATTGCAAGAACATTTTTAATGGATGTTGAAATGCTAATCCAAATAAAAAAGGCTAAATATCATTATTACTTCTTTCTTTCAGGTGGTAAAAATGATGATTGTGGTTGTGCTGACATTTGCCATCTGCTGGCTGCCCTACCACATTTACTTCATAGTCACTGGTATCTATCAACAATTAAACCGGTGGAAATACATTCAGCAAATCTATTTAGCCAGCTTTTGGCTTGCCATGAGCTCTACAATGTACAATCCCATTATCTACTGCTGTCTTAATAAGAGGTAAGAGCTAATTATGAAATGATGTGCATAACTTCAATGAGAATATAAATGGTTTAAATGGGATAAAAGATGAAGAATATTCCCTTGAATAGTTTTCAGTTAGTTGGAAAGAAAACAAAATGCAAAAAAACTTTCTTTAGGTTTCTACTTGAAATGAATACCAAAAAAACCCAAAGGTGTGCTTCCAGTAAATACTTTGGCCTATTTAAATTTCAGAGCAAAATTCAGTTTTCTGAACCCACCCCTTCCTATTTCCATATGCAAAATTCAAAAATCTATAGCATTTTAATATATTTTGGTTTGCAAAACATTAAAATAACAAGGTAAAGACAGTCAGTAGTGATATAAAGTGCAATCTGTATGTTCACTAACTAATTGTAGCTCTAATTTTGTTTTGCAATGCTGGAAGGATATAATATAGAATGTGATTTACTGTGTTTTGTATACCTCACCATTAGATTTCGACCATGCTCTGAGATGCGCAACAGGCTAATAAAACAAATATTTACATTCTCATTACTCAACACCTAAATTACAGTACTGTTTGACAGCAACGCATTATGCTCTGAATTTCAAAGGCACTGCACCTGTTGAGTTTGATGAGATTTCACAGATATTTGCTAGTATGAAACTACTGCATTGCAGAATGAACTCATGTTTTTCATTTCAGCTTGTTGGACCAGAATCTAAACAAATATCATCCTGGCTGTCCCGTTCTTCAGTATTTCTTCCAGTATTACTTGACAAACATCACCAAGAACAACAAGTCATTTCACAAATTCAGTTAATATGAATCATTATTCACATTAATAAGTAATAAGTCATCTTAAATATTATTTTAAATCTCTTTTGAATTAGCAGCCAGTGTCAAGTTTAATTACTGACAAGCTTCATACCAGTTTTGCAAACTATTTCTAAAAACCCCTTAGGATCATGCAATACTTGACAAAAGGAGTGTAATTTGAAATGAAGCGAACAAATCCTGACAAGATGTTATTGGTGTAAAAACACTGCAGTCTTCCTCCCAGATAACCCATGATAATTAACGGTCATGATCTTTTAAAAAGGCAAGGTAATGCCTGATTTCATACAGCCTTCTGCCCCTTTTGATAATTTATAACTGTTTAAAGAAGAGGTAAAGTTTTAGCATGCCAGAAAAAACCCTTACTCAAATGGCATATTTCCCAGTAATTTCAACAGAAAGCAAATTTCAGTCTCCAGCGTGTGCAAAATCAAAGGCAAAGCAGGATGAGACCTCATATTTTCCCAATTACTACCATAAAACTTCTAAAACAATTCTATTTTCTTCAAAAAGTTTTTATGACACTGTTACAAAATAAGCTATTAATAAAAAATTAGTATCTCTGATGTGGCTTACACTGACAGTCATACACTGCAAAATTAAATATCTGGATTAAAGAATACAACCAAAGAAAAACTAATAATTTTGAGAAACACTAAAGGTCGCCCTGTTCAGAATTTAATGCAAGAATGAAATACTGTTGACAGTTTTCTTATAATTAAGTTCCATATTGAAATCAAGAAGCCGGAACATCTGCTTCCTTTTCATTTAGTAGGAAAATAGAGCTTGTTGCTGGGAGTCAGATCAATTCATGCAGTATTGTTACTTCTGCTGGATCTAGTATCAGACAGAGTTATAACACCTATCACCAGCCTCATCTTCGGGGCTAATTAGGATATTACTTACATATCTAGATAAAGAGACATTTTTTCAAGATGAGGAAAAAACATGCCCTGAATTAGAAAGAGGATGGAAGTAGCCAAGAAAAGTAATACAGTTTAAACATGTTTAGGTTTTACAATTCCCTTCACTAAATCTATTGCCATCAGAGGTTCTTTCAATATCTTTCCATAATGTGAACTGCATGTAAACAGAGCAATGCCGAAGAGCAAGCTACATGCTTGTCTGTCATCATGCAAGAACCCCATGGCAAACTGAAAAAAATCAAGGAGGAAAGAAAGTTACTCCTGTAAGATCAGTCAATTTTCACTGAAAATTTAATCTGAATTTTTATTTGCAGTCATCACTGCGGTATTTGAACCATTGCTCCAAAAACCTTACAGACAGGATAAACAACACAGCTGATTACTGAAACAAAACAAGAAAAGCAAGACAAGGGAGAAAGTCTGATAAGCTTTAGGTCTAGGTGAAAAGGTGTTCTTTTTCCACTTACACATAAATATGCAGGGAATTGGTTTTCTAATATATTAAACTTCTACACACAAAAAGTAATGATAGTCTTTAAGTAAACCTCTGCCTCTGCATTGAAAGAAAATAACACTGTACGAATATTGCAAGCACTAATGCACTAAAGCCTCAAAATTCCCATTTGTACATTGTTCACAGTCAAATTTCAACTTTCTAGGATCCTCTTTAATTATTAAAAATTATGTTCTAAATATTTTAAATGAACAATTATTAGTCATTACATCACTCCCGTGTAAGCATCTCTGCTAAGAGGGAAACAGAGAAGGGATGTTGGAATCTGGAAACTGGGATGGTATTTTAGAGAAAAGAATATTATGAAGTTTCTCGATGAAAAAAGATGAAAATGTAGGTGCAGATTTCATCAGAGGTCAAACCAAAACAATTTCTATGAAGACAGTTCTATGAAAGTTGGTGTTTGTTTAATTAGGCATGGGCAAAAGACAGGAAATCCATTATCAAGGAAATACCAATGTTGAAATGCAGGTAAAGCATATAGAAAATCAGAAACTGAAAGCTGTTACCAGTATCTTTTTTTACCTTACTCAGACTTTAGTCTAGGAAACTCCCACTGACTTCACCACATCCAGGACTAGGGACAGGGTAACTAGCAGAATCAGTGTCCTGCCAGCACAGTTATGTTTTCAGATGGAGGCATGTGGCTGGGTCTCATAAGCACAGGCTTTCATCAAGCATCTTTCCTCCTAGGTTCCGAGCTGGCTTCAAGCGAGCTTTCCGCTGGTGCCCCTTCATTGAATTGTCCAGCTATGAGGAGCTAGAGCTCAAGGCAGCCCGGTTCCACCCCACCCGGCAAAGCAGCCTATATGCTGTGTCCAGAATGGAGTCCAGCATGACAGTGGTGTTTGACACTAACGATGGAGACAGCACGCATGCCAGCCACAAGAAAAGAGCACCTCCGAGGGACTTGAATTTTAATGGTTATTCACAGAGGAATTCCAAGACCGTCTCCACAGCCTCAAGTCTCATCAGTTCACTGCACACTTCAGCAGATGTTTATTCCTAAACATTTCATGGTGGCAGCTGCTAGAAGGACAGCACTGGACAATCGTCTCCTACTTTGGGACTAGATATTCATACCACGGGAAAGCAAAACAGATTCCGCTGACAAATCCCAGCTATAAATGTTGTGACACTTTTATGTATCACTTACTTTTTTGCTTTGGAGAGAAAGAGGAATTCGAAGACATGCATATGCCTCAGTCCAAAAGCACAATTGCACCTTATACACAACAATGTCTGTAGGGCTTATCCAAAATAAGCCAACGGCATAAAAAACATTGTTTCAGTTGCATCTGACCTGTGGCATTTATGTCTCACTTACTGAAGTGTAACTGGCCTCTTTACTTATTGAAGCTGAAATGTACGATGTTTTCTATTATGAGTGTATTAATTCTACAGTAACAAAATTACATGAGATTTGATAAAAAATGTCTAATGAGCCCCAAGTCTATTAAATTTACAGTTTAGCCCCATTCCCAGGCAAATAGACAAAATGCAAGCAAATGAAGTTCAGCTCTGTCTGCAACAGTACAATTTTTCAAATATATAAGAAAAATGTTTTTATTAAACATGAGAGCATGACCAAAAGACTAAGTTAAATTCTACCAAAGTTTCCATATTTTTGAACATTATACTCCAATGGAATGTGTACTTCCAGTAGGATGTACTGCTTTGATAAATGTCCTCTAGCTTTGTATCTCAGTGTTAAGTGTAAGGTCTGCCTCCAGCCACCTTAACAGAACCTACCTGATTGACTTGAGAAAGGCCAAAAGGTTTTAAACTGGAGATTCATATATAAGAAAAATACCACTGTGGCAATGGACTCTTCTCTGCAGAAGATAAAGTAACATGTTTCAGTATGAGAAACCTTCACCAGGAAAAAAAAATATTTGGGCTATTTTCACAAATTTTCCATAGGTTGATGTATGTAAAAATACTCCTCTGCCTGCATCTGAAAACATGCTAGGCATTATTACCTAGACACTTTCCCATCGAATTCAGCCAAAATCCACTGACCATCAGTGGATTTTGCAAAGTGCAAAGAAAGCTGAATGTAATAAAAAAGGGACCAGAGAGCAAACTTTGTTTTAGTTAAATGACTGTGTCAGTTGCCTGGATAAGCTGGTTGTGTGATTGTTTGTTCTCAAGCAGTTAATCAAAACATAAGCAGATGAGTGTGAATGTCTTCCTGCATTAGCCAAACCAGCACAGGGCAGTAAGATCTGGCTGAACCCAACACAGTACCAAAGCTGAGCAACTAACAAAGAGAAGTTTGAAGAGAGAAAGGCTGGAGCTGGCTTTAGTTCACACTCCTTCTCAGTGACTGGGGATGATCAGCATTGTGACAGTGAGCATATCATAAGAGACCAGTAACAAGAATCATGTTTGTATTGTGATTCATCTGTATCGTCAATTGCTATATTCTGCTAAGTGTAATTTGTATTTGTATTGTGATTTCAGTGCACTGTGGTATCACTTACTAAATCAAAATCCTGCAAAAGGTAAAATATCCTCAAATATGTGAACGTGGTACATTAAACCCTCCCTGCATGGAATAACTGAAGAACCTGGTCACAGAGTATTGTACTCTGATAAAAATGTATCACAATTCCAGACTCACACTTTTCCTATCCAAGGCCTGATCTTAAATCCACTGAAGCAAAGAGCTTTGCTCACTTATGACTTTCCTTTTAAATGTACATCCATGCTTTTAAACAGTCTGTGTTCCCAAAAGAAACAGCTGGTTTTCATCATGCCATTGTTGTACTTTCACTTTTCCTTTCTTCTTTTTTTAAGTGTGTAGTAATCCAGCGAGTGTCATGCAATGCCTATAAAATATTTTTTAATTTTTTTTCCCCTTAATTAATCTGCTTTAAGTACTTAAAAACCTTCACAAGGTGTTTAACAACTCTGTTGAGAAGATCCAGGATAGGCACACACACAGAAAAAAATGACCCTAAGCATATTAACCTGGTGGTGATGTATTATAAATGCATGCTGTGAAATCCTCTGTCTGCTCATGCACAACTTTTGAGGAACATACATAGAGAAAATGTATACTTGTTAAATAATCTGTCTTTTCTAACTATGGCTATTACAAATTCAGTGTTGACAAACATCAATACAAGTTTGAACAATATAAGTTTGTAGTGAGATGAATTTATTGGTTTTAAATGTAGAGTATAAGTTTGAAAAAGCTGTATATAACACTACAGCATCATAAATCATCTTCATATAACTTTTGTGATCCCTGGTTGACAAATATCAAGAAAGCAATGGTGACTTCCTCACACTTGTATCTTCAGTGACACAATTTCACTTTCCTAAGTGTTTTATGATATGGCCTCTTGGACAAATAATCCACTTATAATCATCTCACTATATTTTGGTGGGTTAGGGGTGTCAAAAACACCCTCATCATTCCTGTAATACTACTCTGAAGTTATAGGATATTCCTGTACAACAAATGAAGAAATCCATGCTTGCAATCACAGCATTGCTTTAACGGAACATTACAGTGATACATGGTGTAAATCCATCTCTCTTTCTCAGCCCAGAAAAATGTGCAGGGTTACACAAGAGTTCAACAAGTAGCACAGCAAAAGCTGTGACTGACAGTAAATTCCATTTGAATTACTATTTCTGAACAAATGTTTTCAGTAAGAGTCCTGGTCACTATAAAATTCCTTATAGGCCTCCTGACACCCCTCACTGAGTATAGAGCACATCAGGACATCCTCATTTTGTGCCAGTAAGACTGCTCAAAGTAGTAGCCTGCATACAGAGTACATGCTTCTGGGGGATTGCTGTGCAGCACTGTAGCAGTCTCATGTCTATACTGCAACTTTCATTTCACATTCTTAACTTTTGCTGAGAGGTGAGTTAAAGAGAACAGACAGATACAGAGATAGCTTCCTACTGAGGGGGCATAATAATACTCCAAAACAGTTACAATTCAACATCATCAGGAAAGGTCTTCTGATCTTGAAAATCTTCTGAAATATTAGTCCTTCTCAGGTATAAGAGTTTCTAGTACTTTGGCCCAGGCTCCAGTTGGCGTCTGTCTCTAAAATGTTTATATGATGAAAAGATTTCATGGCTCCCTAAATTGCCACTTTGTAGGGAGGTTCCCTCGGTAGAGGACAGGTTTAACTTTCACATTGCCAGAGACAGAATATTCAGCATCAGTTTTCCCTGCCATTTTCTTGACATTGGCTAAACTTGTAAAAAACAAAACAAAACAACAATAAGCAGTAAAAAAACAAACAAACCAACAACCAAATCTAAAAAAAACCAAAATCAAAACAAAACACAAAAAACCCCCACCAAACAACAAAAGAACCAAAAGAGTTAAACATGTCTATATTTAAACACAGACCTTCAAACTAATTTCTTGAAGTTTTACAATATCTTGTGACAAGTCTTTGTGGTGGTCCATTCTCCTCCCCACCCCCTCCTCAGAATACTCTACAACCTCAGGAATCCCTGCTGGGCATTGGCCTTTGTGTGACAAGTTGGCTGGCCAAGCATCCCTTGACACACCAGGAACATTTGCATGGTTAAGCTGGGAACATCACTGAGGTGAAAGACAAGAGCACAATCCGTCATTCCGTAACAATCTTGGGACTTTCCTCCCTGAACTATAGCCCCAGGGGAACCATAGAATCCTAGAATCAACCAGGTTGGAAAAGACCTCTGAGATCATCAAGTCCAACCCTTGATCCAACACCGCCATGGTTACTAGACCATGGCACTAAGTGCCACATCTGGTCTCATCTTAAAAACCTCCAGAGATGGTGAATCCACCACCTCCCTGGGCAGCCCATTCCAATGTCTGATTACTCTCTCTGTAAAAAATTTCCTCCTAATATCCAACCTAAACGTCCCCTAGCACAGCTCAAGTCTGTGCCCTCTTGTCCTACTGCTGGTTGCCTGGGAGAAGAGATCAACCCCCACCTGGCTACAGCCTCCTGTCAGGGAGTTGTAGAGAGTGATGAGGTCTCCCCTGAGCCTCCTCTTCTCCAGGCTGAACAACCCCAGTTCCCTCAGCCTCTCCTCATAGGACTTGTCCTCGAGTCCCTTCACCAGCCTTGTTGCTCTTCTCTGGACCTGCTCCAGCCCCTCAATATCCTTCCTGAACTGAGGGGCCCAGAATTGGACACAGTACTCCAGGTGTGGCCTCACCAGTGCTGAGTACAGAGGAAGAATCACTTCCCTGGATCTGTTGGCCACACTGTTCCTGATCCAGGCCAGGATGCCATTGGCCTTCTTGGTCACCTGTGCACACTGCTGGCTCATGTTCAGCTTCCTGTCAATCCAAACTCCCAGACCCTTTTCTGCCTGGCTGCTCTCCAGACACTCTGTCCCCAGCCTTTGTGGCTGGAGTTTTGGAAACAATTTGAAATTATATCGGAAACAAATTGTAATTGTTTTGAAAACTCGAGTAATGACTGACCTGAGGATGAAAACTTTTACAGATGACTAAAGTAAACCATCTTGCAACCCTATAAATAGGCAACCCAAGTGAGGCCCTTTGAGCTGGACTGCAGTGGGATGTGCCAGCATCTCTGTCAGAGTGGGACACCCCTTGGAGCTTGCAAACTCTCACATTTGTGACAGCTAGAGGACAATTGCCCAAAGCTGATGACAGAGGCTAGGTTGATAAAGTCCTCCCACTCCTCAGGGCTCAACCCTCATCCATTGAGAAAAGCCAAAGCACTCAATATGGGTATTTCACAGATATCTTTGTATATACTTCTTTGTGTGTGTGTGTGTGTGAATTGATTTAAATACTCTATAGCAAGTATAGTATAAGTACTGTTGTCTTGGAGCTATAATTAAGGTACTATTGCAGCTGTAGTCAATTCTATTGAATCACTTTATAAATGTTGAATTAGTCAATTGAAGAAGTGCTACTTAAACCCTTTAAATATAAACGTTGATGGGGTCTGAGGCTAAGTTTAGCAAGGGAGTCCTTTCTGAGCCTTGTGACTCACGGGAGAGTCTTCCTTACCCTTTTGCACCCTTATCACTTGCATCCTTTGTCTCCATGCAAATCATTTTAAAGTGATTTTAAGCCAATTTTCCTTTTTATGTTTCATCTATATAGTAAGTATTAAAGCAAACCTTGTCATTGAACTTTGTCACACTTGCACAAATTTATATTAAAACTTGCTTTTGTCAGTATCTTTGACAGTGATTCTTTAAGCTGCCCAAACCACTCATTCATGACAAATTGGTGTAGTCAGCAGAATACCAAATCAGGATTCTCAACAGTCTATATAAAAGCGTGATCTTAAGAGGAAAAAATAAATCTGAGCAAGCTCAGGGTACTCAGACACGATGCATTCAGTAGATTGCAGCCTGTATCTCTTCAGCAGAAAACCGTTGACAGCCTTCCTGCAGTCCACTTAAGGCTTATTGTCAAGGTTGGGAGGCACTGGCAGACCTGCACAGCATGAGCTATTAGCTGCATGTTTACATCTGGTAACTAAATGTGCTCATTGAGGAAGGTAACTGATCAATATTAATATATATTTTCAAAAATAACTTACTAAAGGAACTAATATAGAAAAGGAGAGCAAAATGGTTTGTAGAAGGTGGCGGTTTATTATCTAAATAAAAAAATTCAGGTGTTTTGGATGTGGGTGTTTCTCCTTTAATACAGTGGAATTTCTTTTGCATCAGTGAAGAAGAACCTATTTCACTGATACAAATTTCAAAACCTTTCAGGCTGTCCTCTCCAGGAACTACAGAGCTTGGAGAAACTTGTTCCTGTTGCATTTATGTCAAGGTTTTTGAAGTGTCCCATTTCAGGAAGAAATCTAAATCTGCTTTACTGCTTCCTCTAATTCAAGAAGAGTTTAAATTTAGAGTCCCAGTTACTATGGGCTGTTTGTTAATGAATACCTCCACATATTGCTACAACAGATGCAGGAGATACTGCTTAGGATACACCACTGTTTACAAATGTTGTGTAAGTTCTTTGTATTCAATAATGTTCAATTTGTTCAATTTGTGTCTTGCTGTTCATGAGAAAATTTGAGTGGTTCTATGTTCATAATTCAAAATGATCTGTTGAGAGCAGTCAAAGATAATTCTTTATCAGTCCATGAGCAGTTGCTGTGGGTATTTAAATACAAATTGGTTTAGATGGGTTCACATATCACATGGAACACTGTTACTGGCTAATTGAATTGCCTCTCTCCTATCTATAAAACTGAAACATGCAATATTGGATTACAACTGGAATCAGATTTCCCAAAACAAAGGGTTACACTTACAAATATCAATTTTGCCTGTTATGAATACTCTGTAACATAGCCTCTGGAATCACTATTCCCAAGTTTCATAGTAGTGAATTTTTCACTGCAATATTTGTGATGCAAACAGAAAAAGCGACACCAGAAATTGTATTCCTGGAGCACACTTACTTTGAAAATTGCTGTTGCCCAGCTTGCTTGGATTCACTTGCTTTAGATTTAAAAAAAAACCCAAACAACAAAACCCCAATCATTTGATCAGTAGGCATTCACCTATTAAATCCTACAAATCTGTTAACACTTGAAATACTCATCAGCTTTTCTACAACATTGTCCACAAATTCATATGCAAATGAGAGTAACAATAAATCAAGTCTGTAGATACTATACTATACTATACACCATGACTTCAGGCAAGCTCCTTCCTGAATGCAAGGGAGAACTTCCTGGAGAGCATCTCCAGTTGCCAGAGGTTTTGCCAGATGAAGTCTGACCAAGGACAGGGAAAGCCTCCAGCATCAAAGGACTTTATAGAGCAGTCCAGCCAGCAGCTCTTTCCTGTCTACAATACTGATACCTACCTCTTGTATGCAAACTGAAAAACTTAAGGCAGCCAGCAACACCTCTAAGATCAAAGGTACAGCTTTATCTTGGCCTGAAGCTCCACTCAGTAGGGCCTTACACTAGACAAAGGAAGCTTTTTATTCAGAAGTATGTTTTAGTATATTCACAGCCTTCATTCATTTTGTTTGAGTTTGCAACCTTAGAAACACTTAGACAAGTGTATTGCCAAGACGTGATAGGCCAGGTGAGGTGACCCACCTGGAATAGCTCTTCTGCAGATTGGCAACTTCTACAGCGCACAAAGGAAGTGATCACAGAATCACAGAACCATTGAGGTCTCCACTTCTCATCCCAAGCCTTGAATCCCTCAAGGCTACTAAGTACATTTCCTGCCACCTAACCAGGCCAATATGTAGGAGGC